CCACCACCACCACCCCGTCCCTTCCCATTTCCAGACCACTCGATACCAACACAACGAGGAAAGAGAAAGAAAAGCACAACGCGTCGAAAGCTGGCTTTGTCAAGGTCGTCCCTTTTAAGCCGAGTCCTCTGGGCACCGGAGGTCGACCCGCACCGCAACCGGCGACCGCAAACCACTGCTCGAAAGCTGGAAGAGGCTCCTCACTCCCGTCGGGCTCCTTCGCTCGTCGCGCGACTTCCCGCCTCTGCGAATGAAAACTTGCCGGAAATTGGGATCACGCTAATCCGGAGTGGAAAAAGAGCCTCGGGGCAAGTGTGTGTGCGCGCTTATTCCTTGCTGGTCGTGTAACAAGTGCTGGTGGGGTTTGTTATTGTGCTCGTGCGCCGACCGCCGATTGTGTATTCGCCTCGCTCCTGTCACTCTCGCCTGGCCGCAACTTGCCCCTCGGTCTCGGCCAGGTAAAGTGCCATTAACCGTTCCCGGGGCGCGATTGTGTGCGTGAACGAACGAGCCCGAGCGAGAAGGAGATTAGCCGACAAGGTTAATTTTAATGTGACAAATCCGGAGAGCCGCGAGCGCCGCGCTCCCTGGCACGGCAACGGGCACGGACCCGTGTACGTCCGTGTATCTGTCTCTCTGTGTGCGCGAGCCGCAGCGGAGCTGCGAGGCCGGTAAGGAGATAAACACTAGGCATCCCGGGTGGGTCTACGTATTGGTGGGCCGCCGAGCTTTCGCCAACGAGTCGCGTCCGCGAAGCGTCGGCGCCTGACTCGACGGCGTGCGATGGCCAAGCGCTGGCCGGCGATCGGCGGCCGAGGCGGCGCCGTGTGCGCGACCTTGAACTTGGCGAGGGCTCGCGCGGGCTCCGACGGCCTCTACGGCGACCGTCCGCCCGTTCACGTAGGGAGCAACTGAGAGCGATCCGGCCCCAGAAGACATGTGGCAGGCGCAACAACAGCAGTGTTACAACGGCAGCATGGCACCACAGCAGGCGAGGCCCCGAGCCTCTACGGTCTGCCTCGACGAGGAGATCGCTGTAAGCGCAAGCGCCGCCGTCGTCTACCAGCAGAAGATCGAAGTGCCTAGCGCGCATTCCAGGTCAGTCGGCCGAACGCGACCTTGGCATATACCGAGCGCAGCTTAGCGGCTTGGCTCCTCGATGCCGCCTGTCCCGGTGCGATTTTAGCTGGACAATCCATTTAGTCTTCGCGCACACTCGCTCCTGACAGTGATAGCCAAGCTTTTTTCGCCCAAATTTACACGGCCCTTTTCCCTTCCATTCGTCCTTCTTTGCTTTCCCAGCACTGACTACGACGGCGCGCTGCCATTTAATTGCATCCAACTCGCTTTAATTGAAACTCTTAATTATCAAATACTTTTGTTGGAGCCTCGTTCGTTTAAAAGTACGATTTTTATATTCTTTCGAGTCTTATATAGTCCGAATAGCAAATAATGCAATGAGCTAAACTATGAGCTATTCTCTCTCTCTCTCTCTCTCTCTCTCTCTCTCTCTCTCTCTCTTCAATCTTTTGTGATTGATTTGTATACAAATCTTTATCATTTTACCAATTGATGTAATACCGTGGAATTTTAAGTTTTTCATTAATATTCCAATTGTTTTATTTTATGTCATTCTTACTGGGGAATCTCACATAACCATTACCAGGCAATATCATTGAAAATTATTCAATTATATAATATCTTTTGTCAATAATAATTGTTACGAATTATTATCATTATTATACTTCTTATCGAGCTTGTCGGCGGTCATGTCTCTACTTACTTATACATTATCAAAATATTCAGTAGTCAATTGCAATTATATAATTAAACGATGTAACATCTTATTTATTGCACTTAAAGGAGGAGCGTTTGTGAGCGTAAAATTACGTTGACTTACAAGTAACTTTGCGAACTTTCTTGAAAAAGCCTTACTAAAGTTATTATTGCAAATTAGAATTTCCCAGGTAAACTCTTAACTAAACTATAAGTACAATGAATTTAAACTTTCATAAAAACCGAATTAAACAATGAAAAGTCAACTAAGTGACAAATACAATTTTTTAAGTCTATTTATTGAAGTGAAAATATTGGAGCTAGACAACGATAAAATAAATAATCTTAAACTAATTTTCTCAATTGTCGATACGTTAATACGCGTTTAAAAATGTGTAGACTTTTTAGCTGCAATAATATGATGGTAAATTTACTTGTAACTTTACCAGAACTAATATCCTAGTGAAATTCTAATATCGAAGTAAATATCTTAAGACTTGATCCTAGCCACGTAAAATTCATAGTTTCATTTCAAAATTGGCGATCACCTTCATCCTCGTTTCTATTAAATTGAAAATTAGAGCAATTACTTCGATAAGCGATGTAAAAAAACATAATTGTCTTGCCATTAAAAAAAAAAAATAAAAAAAAATAAATAAAAAGGGCTTTTATAATAAAATGCAAGATAATACGCTACGCTGGATAGTCGCAGCAAATAATTAATCAATTGACAAGTCGTAGACAAAGCGGTGTGAGAAAGCTCGTATGGCTAAATGTTGTTGATGTGTGCGTCTGTGTGTGTGCATTAAAGCACGTAGACTTAGATAAAGTTTGGAAAGCACGAGATTAAAGAGATTTCTTTCCGAGTATAATGTAGCCGTACACTTGAATTGTATACTTGAATTGAATGTGACGCGGTGCTAATATGATTCAAGTATAGCTCAATACATTTTTTCACACCTACACAAACTTCAATCATCGCGACCGCCTGTCCGTTATTTCCAAAACAGCTTGTGAGTGGGTACACATATGTGACACATTGTGGAAGGTCGGGGTCTCGCCATATTTGCGTCGCTAGCGGTAGCGTACGTATATTCGCCTACCTCATGCAGTGCATAAACGTATAATGTGCCGATATCTTCATGACAGTCGACGAAATCGTCGTTTCTGTTTTCAATTTATTTCTTATTTTAATTTTTTCATTGAACTATTGTCTATTTAATTAATTTCCTTCGGCGAAAGCAGGAGGACTGCGAGCTAAGACTCATAATATATGCACATAGCGAAGGATATATTCGAAATTTTTAATAAGCGTTTCAAGAAATTATTAAAGAGACCCATTTTACCCATTCGAAATTATCATTGAAAGAAAATTGATGATTGATTACATTTTTTTTTGTCTTGTAATTAAATATGGTGATTTTAAAATTCCAAAAAATAAAAATAATGACTTTGATATTTAATGATAAAAGTCACAATATCAGCTCGCAATTTTATGCCGGGAATTCATTTTTTCAGAGTAATAAAATGAAATTTAATTTTCTGATCAAATTCTTTAAATTGTTTCATACGAGCAGAATTACAAAAAAAATACACTCATAAAATTCTTTCCGTTTTATATAATTCGAGGCATTATTTTAAAATTAAATACAACAAAATTATTCTTTTAAAATTAACTTACAGTTAAAAGAGCTTTTGATATAACAAATGCTCTACGTTAAAAATTAAATACAAATATATTAATAAAATTATGTATCTAGTGTACAAATTTTAAGATTAAATGAGAATAAAGTACTCGGCATGTGGAAATAATATTAAAATATTCAGCATTTACTTTGCAGACACAGAAATATTTTTAAATGTCTATTTTAAGAAATAGTAATGTGTTTTAGCTGAACCAAAGCAGTTTCTAATCACGTACATTTTATGTAAAAATATGAATAAAAAATAATTTTATTATTTTCAAATGTTATTGTTACGTTAAATAATTTATCTTGCATTTTCATAATAAAAGCATATTTTACAATAAATTATTAAAAATTAAATGAGGCTGAAAAATATACATTAAAGAGATAAACGATAATAAATGGTATAAAACGTGACAAGCCATATTTCTAAATTATTTCTATATTATTTGATAAATTGTTCTATCTTATGCGGTATAAGAATATGGATATTTTTAACCAGGACAATGTAAATTAATTGAATTATAGATGCTTTACAATTTAAAAAAAAAAAAAAAAAAAAAAACTTAAATTATGCATTCTTATCCTTACTGAAATATGACTGTTTTTTTTTCAAAATATTTTTTAAACTTAAAGATTATTTTTCTTTCTAATGAAAAGAAGATGAAAATTTTCATAATCAATGTTTTAAGGAAACTAATCGTCTTTTTTCAAATTTACTTAGAGTTAATATTGTTATTATAGATAAAAAAAAATTCTAATATCTCAGCAATTGTGCACAGAAAGAATCCATACATTTAGAAATTGAAATATACAGTTTTACCTTTGGAATTCTTTGGCATTATGTAAGCCACTTTTACAATTAAATCAGCACATTATTTGCGTACAATAAGTCGAATTTATCATCGTAGAAGATTTCGGGTAAATTGTCTAAATTAAAACCTACGCGATTAAAATCAATGGTATAAAATTAAAATTAAACATATAAATATAGTCGTTTCGCTTTCGTATGTTAATGTAAATATATAATTAGTTTTATTTCTAACAATTCTTTATTTATAACGATTAGTTGGAACTCCCAAATCATAATAGCGTGTCATTTGAGTACTATTAGTTAACTCGTGTATATTTCTCATTAATGACTAAAGATTTTCAATAAAATAATAAAATTCAGTAAAGCTTGGATATTATGCGATTTTGCATTTAATTAAGAATTGTAATAATTTATTAAGTGCTTATATTAAGTGACAGAGTAGAATTTTAAAAATTATTTTCACATTTCTGCAAAATTATATCAAGTATATGTAAATGTTGTTAAGTCATCTTATCCCTAAAAAAAATTAATAAAATAATTTGAACATTTGCATTGTCTAATTTTATATAGATAAATAACGCGTTAATTTTTTTTTATTCAAAATGTAGAAAGAGATTAAAGCCAATACGTGTCTATGGGGTTGTTAATTTACAGTGTGCACAATTTTCTTTACAAAAATGAAAGTAATGATATTCTATGTCATTTTTATTCCTGTATAATGCCGAAGGAAAAGAAAATTTCGTTTTGATTGGTAATAAAAAATCTTCTTTTTCTTTTTATTTTTTTCTAAATCCATTTTTATCACCGCTAGTTGAACAACGACGATGTTGAATAAAGTTTCCGATTAATATTTTTCTTAAAAAAAAAAAAAAAAAAAAAAAAAAAAAACATATACATGTATGGATATGGATATATAAAAGTCAATTTCAAAATTTTATAAACTCTAGATAGCCTAGAATGTTAATAAAGTCAGTAAATTACTGCTGACGAAGAAAAAAAAATTCGACACTCTGCTTGTAATCAGTGGGAGCTAGGGATGCGTGTCTGTTCCTTTCTCTCGACATGGACTGCACATAATAATAAGCGCATGGTAAACATGTATAGTAATTTGTTCGGTAGGCGAGCATGGCCCTGAACAAAATTTGTCGGGACGCATGTAAATGTTTGGCGTGAATCATCACTCTCTATTTTCGTCCTCGATCCGCTCCTCTTTGCCTCCTCTTCGTAGTGCATTCTCCAGCGGAACTCACCTACCTATAAACATCTTTCGCACATATATTATTCTGCGTGTTATTTTTTTTTCCTTCTATCTTCTCCGCTAAGCCATACGATAATTTCCATTCATGTATTAACGGCATTATTCATGATGGGAGATCAGGTGAATGTCACGATTAACTGCTTGGCTTCGCTTCCCTCCACATTATGCATACATACAAGAGCGTCACTTTTGAATTGAGAAATCTACGATATTCGGCCAATCGATCGACAACTCGATTTCTCATTTGCCAATGAAGGAAGCGGAATGTGCAAAAGATTAGTAAATTTTCAATTTTTCGACTTCATCGTTGAATTCTTTACGCATTATCGCCTATGCGTTCCGACGGTATTTTTAAGAATTATATAGAAGAAATTTCCTCACATAACGATTGTCCTTGAATAACAAACATTCAATTATCTCATAAGCAAGTTTATTGTCAGGTATATAAATACAATTAGAATGTGTTCTTGACATTGAGTCGAAGCAATATATACTCTCTTTCATTCTTCAAGTTCTCTTAAACTTCCTTCAAAGTATAGTTCTAAATATATAGTCATACTGTAAA